TGACATGAAGACACAGCGAGAGTGCCATCCACAAGCTGGGGATTGCCTGAGACCACCAGAAATTAGAAGAGGCATGGAAAGGATTCTGTCCCTCACAGCCCCCAGAAGTCAGCAAGCATGCTGAAACCTTGATTTCTGACTTCCAGCCTCCAGCACAGTGAGACAATAAATTTCCATTGTTTAAGCCACTCAACTTGTGATACTTTGTTAGGTCAGCCCTAGCAAACTAATACACTGATTGACTGATTGACCTTTGTTGACATAACTCATTTTTGAGGAGGTACAAATGTTCCCAATGTCTTGGCCAACAGAGGACCGTGAAGAATGCCTCTTGGGGGAGGGAATGCCTGTTCCTGTTAGGTTGCCAATCCCAAGGGTACTGCCTTTGCTTTCTCATCTGTCATTTCTGGGGCCGTGTGACAAGTTCATCAGACGCACTTCTACGAGAATGGATGACTTTCTGGTGGAAAGTCAGTTTTTGACTGGGGTGATGAGATCGCCGGAAGAACTTGGGGCACCGCCTGGATGGCCAGGCACACTTCCCAGGGTCTTGTTCCCATTTAGAAAAGAGCTGGTGGGAATAGTCAGGAAGGCTGAAGTTGGCCTAAGGAGGTCAGGCAATATTAACAACTTGCATTTTTATCAAGAGCCAGGTGTGGAGAGTTATAGAAGAGCATGGCTGAATGGAGAGGTGAGGGCAGAGGTGGGTGGGTTGAGGGGAGGAGTCAGAGCTGAGATGGGGAGGGGATACAGTGAGGGGTACCACGGTTTAAAGTGTTGCACAGAGCCAGCACCCCAAGGAGGATGAGGCTGGGGCTTTCAGTGGACAAACGTTAGGCTGGCGGGGACAGGAGCAGAAGCCCTTCCCTCTGTGCTTGGCCAAAGGACACCAGTGGTGGCATCAGTTAGAAGGGAGGGATCGAGGCTATCTGCAATGGGTGATTCTGGAATTACATGTCTCATAGTTCACAAAACAAAATGGTTTCTTGGGGTGATGTCTATTTCATATGCCGGTTGGTGGTTTTAGACACAAAGTCCAGTGCCAGCTGGGCTGCTGTGATTTCTGAGGTAAAAGCATCTAACAAGGACTCTGTGAACAGAATATGAAACAGATAATCAAAGAGGCTGAGATTCAAATGCATCTCTTAGTCTTTGAATGGCTCAGACCTCTTTTGATCCAGCAGGCACCAAGTTTTTGCTTACATTTCTTTTCCTGTTTTCATCCCTCCCTCAGTCACTATATGAGCACACATGGAAGCAAGCAGAAATGGTGGAGGGGGATGTAAGGGATTATGTATCTTTAGGGGAGGGCGGTAATTACAGCGATCACAATAATAGCAGTGGGGAGTCAAGGTAGCTAATATTTCCTGAGGACGTTAGAAGTGCCAAGTCCTGGACCTGATACGTTGATTCTCATTTTTTAAAAGACTTTATTTTTTGAGAGAGAGAGTGTGCACATGAGAGGGAGGAGGGTCAGAGGGAGAAGCAGACCCCCCCGCCCCCACTCAGATACTGGAACTCCAGGATCATGACCGGAGCCAAAGGCAGATGCTCCTCTGAATGAGCCACCCAGGTGCCCCTGTTGATTCTCATTGTAATCATGTAAGGAAGCTGTTGTTACTCCTTTCTCATAGATGAGAAGCTGGTGTCTCCCAGATTTTAAGGAAATGCTCCACGTCACCCAGATGGTAAATAGTAGACTACAGTGCTGTATGATATCACATAGTGACATATAGTAACCAGAATCTGCCTGGGCTTTCCTTACCACAACTCTCACAAAGTAAGAGATGCGAACCAGATGAGCCCCTTGCTGTGAGATCGGTGGGGGGGAGGGGGCAGAGCTCATAGGACAGTCTGTCCTAGAGAAGTCTCAGTATAAACAAGGGGCTGGACATGAAACGAGAAGTGGAAGTTAGACTGTGCAAGTTCCTGGGTTGGAGGAGGGGGTTGCTAGATGGTGAAATCCAGATTTTCTCAGCATGTTCAAGCAATACACAGCATTGAAAAAGGTAGGGCAAGGACAGTAGCATCAAAAGAAAATCATGGTTTGGTCCACTTGTTCCTACTGTGAATTGCTGTTCCTAGAGATTGCAGTTCTGAGGCCATAAAGATGAAATTTCAAACACGACCCCTTTGCCCATTATTTACTGCAAATTGGAGAGGAAAATTTCCTTATCAAACACTGTAAAAGGAAGCTTGCTTGCTTTTGAGTTCCTCTTTTGCTTCATCCTCACTTGCCAAATGCTGGCAGAGTATTGACAGTAATTTCGCATGTAGTTGTAAGCTGTCACTTGGGTAATAAAGGGGAGGGTGTCTAGCTTGAGAGTATGTTTTCCAACATGGCCAGGAGCGTTCTGTACAAAGAGAATTATGATTAATGATTAAGCTGGTAGCTGAGTTTGACTATAAAACTTGGCCAAGGTCAAGGCTGGCATGAGGGGTGGCCTGGGTGAGGCCATTTGAGGCCCAAGGTGGGGCAGATGAGTGGAAAGCCCCAGAAGAACCCAAGCAGGAACACCTTACATGGGGGCTGCAGAAGAGATATTGTGTAAAGGAGGGCATGGGAGGCAGGAAGGAATGGTGAGGCTCTGGGCTGATGTCCTCTCCACAAAGCCACTGCCCTGCCTCTTCCTCTGGCCAGCCTAAGCCACTCTATGGCCACTATCACTCCTGTAGGCTGCTATATTAATTTCCTGTGGTTGCTGTAAAAGTGACCTCAAACTCGGTGCCTTACAACAGAAATTAATTCTTTCATAGTTCTGGAGGCCAGGGGAGAATCCTTGCCTTTTCCAGCTGCTGGTGGCTGTCAGCACACCTTGGTCTCCTTGACTGTGTCACTGCAATCTCCGCTCCTCCTCCTCTTCATGTGTCCTCTCTTCTGTCTCTTATAAGGACACTTGTCATTGGATTTAGGGCCCACCTCAGTAATCCAGGATGATCGCATCTCAAAGTCTTTAACTTAGTGGCACCTGGGTGGCTCAGTCGTTAAGCGTCTGCTTTTGGCTCAGGTCATGATCCCAGGGTCCTGGGATCGAGCCCCGCATCGGGCTCCCTGCTCTGTGGGAAGCATGCTTCTCCCTCTCCCACTCCCCCTGCTTGTGTTCCCTCTCTCGCTGTGTCTCTTTCTCTCTCAAATAAATAAATAAAATCTTTAAAAAAAAAAAAAGATCTTTAACTTAATTACTTCTGCAAAGACCCTTTTTCAAAATCACAGTTTCTGGGCATTAGGAAGTGGAAAAATCTTTTTGGGGGACCACCATTCAACCCATTATAGGTGCCAAGAGTCAGGGAACCACGAGGACCTATATCTTTGTTGTTTAAAAAAATGTTTTTTGGTCTCGATGGGGACAGTCATTGAAGTAAATTTGACAGGGACAGTCATTGAAGAAAGGACATCATTCCAGGCTGAGAGCTGAGATAGAACACAAGATCTGACAGAACAAATTGTGTGATCAACTGTATTCCCTTCATCCTCAGACTGGAGCTCACTGGATCCCTAAGGTCCTTCTTGAGTCCTTCTACTAATCTGAACTTTGCAAACTTCACCGGTTGTGTTATTACATTTTGATTCCATTTTGAGTGACTATTGGGGTTACCATACTAGGTGCTTGGCAATATCTAAGATGGAACATCTCATTTAACCCTCACGACAATACCAGGTACTGTCATATCCACTCCACAAATTAGGGAGCTAATGCAGAAGGTTACATAATTTGCCCCCAGTCCTAATCCTAGGGCATAGTGGGGTTTTATCTCCAAGGCTGTGACTCTCCAGTGTGTTCTAGGTAATGCCCTCTGGTTTGAAACTCCTCTGAGCGCAGAAAGAATGGCTTTGTTTTCATTTGTTTGTTAGTTTCCCTTTCACTGGGGAAGACTGTGTCATTAATGAATCCCTTTCTCTGTTCCCTGCTGCCTTTGTCCCTTTAGTATCCACAGTCTTAACTCATTCCATTTTGGTTTGGATTTAACCAATTGAAACCTAATCCCTGATACTGTCCACTGAGAGAGCATCAAATGTTAATCCTCCAGGGAAAGTATTTTAAAAAGGAGACTCTGGAAGGGCAAAAAGGCCTTTGAGACTCAGATGATTCTCTAATGACAGAAATTGAAGCAGGTTGACGGGGAAGATGGTTTTGAGAGGAGAGGCTGCCTCAGAGCTTCAGAACAGGTAGAGAAAATGTATGGTTCACGGACCTGCAGCATCATCACTACCGGGAACTTGGCAGAAAGGCAGAATGTGGGGTGTGCATGTTCATAAGGTCCCCAGGCGACTTGGGGGTATATTACAGTGTGGGAAGCGCTGGTCTAACCCATACTCTGACTTCTTGGTCTGAACTCAGGCTGGAACGGAAAGGTGAATTCAAACTACCTTGTGCAGGTGTTCAGGTGAGAGGGAAGTTTATACAGGCAAGAGAAGCCCAAGATCCGATCTGGGCCTCCCAGACAGAGCTAGCAATTTGCTGGGGAACACAGCTGACTGACTCAAACCCGAATTCATGGGCCAACCTCAACGTGTGGTGGCTGAGTTAGCAAAAATCTACCAAGTCAGATCCAATTCAAAATGTTTTAGTTTTAGATAAGCGATATCTAGTTCCCCCCCCCATGAGGGCAAATGTAAAATAGCCTAAAATTTGTATTAGCAGTTAGAGAGTTGGCCAGATCCCCTTTCCTCTGGGAACCAGCGCATTCATTTTTCTCACAGCTCGGCTCATGAATTATTTCCCCTGGAACTGAAATTGGAAGAGCTTCCCTGAGCAAAAAAGCAATTTCATTCCCCTCTGATTTTTTTCTAAGTGCAGGTTAGCTTGAAGCTCAGCACTACCCTGCTTTGCAAAAATGCTCCAAGCTGACCTGTTCTTCTCCACAATGTCATCTTGTGGGTAAATTGGAGCCTAAGAATCGGAGGAAAAAGCAGCCTCAGAATTTGGTGTTTTCTTAGCTTATTGTACTGTATTTTTGGCAAGTCTTTCAAACTTTAAGTGTTTAAAATTTTCCCTAATATTACTTACCTCGCCATCACCTTTAGGGATGCCAAGCGAAGGTTAATGGGATGGTGCAGTGAGTTTGATCTCCTGGGGAGAAAAGGAAGCCTATAAATACATCAAACACTGTGACCAGGTATAGACGAAATTTTAAAAAGAAAGATAAATCACGAACACAATCACCAGTCCACATTAACCTTGCTGCTCAGGGGCGGCCCTATTTATAGGCGTGGCCATTGGAGTCATTCTGATGAGTGAGGGCTTACCGGGGCAGGGAGATCTCTAATGCAGCCCGGCCTTTCCTTCTCCCTTCAGAATTACATCTCAAAACTTCAATTCTTGTGTTTTGATCTTTGCTCACCTCATCAAGCTTGATTTTTATCACTTCCTATCTCTCCTTTGCTGTCATTTCTGTTCTCAAACACCTCTCTTCAGTGCACTTTCTTATGACATTTACTATTCTTTTTGCTCAGAATACTCTTCTTCTCCCATTTTCCAAACATCATCACCTGGTTGGTCCTGATCCCTCGGGTCTCACCTGCCTCCTCCGGGAAGCCTCACAGGGTCTTCTAAGCCTGATTGGAGAGGGCCTCATGGGGTTCCATTGCATCATGGGTTTAAACCCTTTCTAATAATCCCCTGCTTATTCATCTTTCTCTCCTAGACCAGTGGTTCTCAGCGTTGGTTGAACATTTAGAATCATGGGGGGACATTTTAAAACTCCAAATATCTAGATCATACCCCACATTAATGAAATCACAATTTCTGGGGGGTGGGATTCAGGTATCAGTATTTTTTAAAGCTCTCCCAGTGATGCCAGGGTATAAGTCAATTTGAGAAGCACTGTAATAGGTTGTAAACTCATGAGAGTGTGGACAGTCACAATTACCATAATGCTTGGTACATAAGGGCACCCACCAGAGCTTAATGAATGAGTGAGTGAATGAGATGTTGGGGTTGCAACTTTGCAGACCCTAAACTTTGGTTCCCAGGTCACTCTTGGAGGATTATGTTCTTAGGTACCTGAGCCTCTGAGATTCATCTTCAACAGAAACTGATAAATTTTATTTTCAGGAAACGTAACCAAGTTAATCAGACACTTTTAACACCATTCCTTTCCTGCTCCCAGCCATTAGTTCATTCTTTTCCCAGTAAGGAAGCCTACTTAGCAAAATAAAGATTAGATAAGACAAGGGAAGGAAGTGGAAGGTCTTACAGGATGTTTTTATTTGTCTGTGATGCCTGATAAACATCATCTTTCTACTCTAAAGATTCCATGGACTGGATATTCTTGACATTTGAGATAATTTATCTGAAAGGGCTCTGAAAATCATAAAGTGACATTGTTGCTATTATGGCTGCATTTCACTTATTCCCATAACAAATATTCAGAAGGTCTTTATGACCGCACTAAACAATAGGAATATTGCAAAGGGGCCAAGGGGCAGTTGCTCCTTCTGTGGGATGAGTGTGCTGGAGCATCCTGAGAATGGGTCATTGGCATGTAGGGTGGTAACTCCAGGAACTGAGAGAAAGGAGTGCTATGCAGCTATGTTACCTGCACCGCTACCCACCTCCAGGTTGTGAGCACAGTCAGGATGGAGGCCATCCTACTTCTATTCATTTGCTCAAGGCCTGACACAGTTCCTGGCATATTGTAACTACATCAATTGTCAAGATTAATCAATTATGGGCCATCTGTCAGGTCAGATTCTTTGAGGTCCAGGTATTAGAAAACCAACTTAGATTCACCTAAGCATAAAAATATTTAATGGAGGGGCTAGGATAGTTGAGAAAGCCAAAACCAACATCAGAAAAGACAAACACAACTTACAAGCAGAACCTTGGGAAGGCCGTACCCAGGGCTCTTCTCAGGACTTCTGACCCTAGAAACTTGGGCTCCCTTGGTATCATTCACCTCTGCTTTTCTTGTTCGTGTTGAGTTCCTTCTCTCTTTTTATAGGGTGGCTTGGGACATATAATTAGCACAAGGGCAGGCAATGGCTCTGGACTCAACATTTTCCAAATCTTCCCTCTGGAGAGGAGAAGGCTGTCTCTCCTGAGCTTCATCCCATGGGAAAGAATGATGGCCCAGGATGAAGAGGTTGCCAATCCCAGACCAATCACTGAGGCAGAGTATAGGCATATACCTATGAAAGGAGGAGTTGGGGTTCTCAATAAAGGCACATGTTCTCAGAATGGTACCACTTGCTGGCATGTGGGTGTTACAAGAGACTCCTGACCCTGTCAGTTATGGGAAATGGGATTAACAGGCTGTGGCTATTAATTGCAGATTTGTAGGAGAAGTAAAAGAAAGTCTAAATGCCCCTCTGCAGGGCAACTGCAATGACAATGAAGGAGAACATGTAACTTTTGCAAACCCTAAGCTAAAAGCCCATTTGTCTGGAAATCATGCTTTCATGTTTCTACTGAAATTAGAATAACATTTATCCCATAGTGCCCCAAATCTGGTAAGATAAGATTATGATCATAACTTTTGGCCTGAATGGAAGGTTGGAAAGGCTACCTTGCCCTGAAAAGGGTCGTGCTGGTTATTCACAGAGTGTGGCTGCTGCAAAGACCATCACCCACTGAGTGGGGCTCCATGCAGGTCTGGGGCCCGAAGGATCTGCATCTGAAGAAGTCTTACTTATCCAGACTGTGGGTTTAAACATAAACTGTGCTGTTTAAATGTTCCCTGGTACTTCATTTAGTAGGGGATGGGAGAGTGAGAACTTTGAACAAGTTTCTACTTCTTAGTGTCCTGAAACTTCCATTTTATTGCAAGTAAAAGACTCCAGGGTGGCCTTGTCCAGAACGAGGAGGTCTTTGGCTAGTCAAAGACCAGTAATGTTTCTTCCACAGTTCTTTCTGATGGTATGAAGTTCCAGAAGCACGGCAGAGAATGCACGAGCGCACTGGCTTCCTTCAAAGTGGAGAATTGAAATAAGCCTCTCTGGTAAGAAACATCTTGTGGATAGCAGAGGGAGAAGTAACAGGGCAGGGATGATGTTCCTCAAGGTTTTCATGTTGCCTGTGAAAGTTGGGTCTGGCAAAATGATATGCGGGACAGAGGTCACCAAGTCCTGCTCACATGAAGCCAAACAGCTTGGATAATGTGGGGACAATGCAGGTAAAGCAGATTTTCCAGGAACAGGTGAGATCCAGGACTGGCCTGGGACCCTGACATAAAAAGAACAAAGTAAGGCCTCAAAGAGGAGCAGATAGGAGAGCTGTGGGCTGGAGTGTTGAGTCAAATCTCAATGATAGTTGGGCAGATCACCAGGCTGGGAAAATGGGGCAGAGGCAGACTTCTTTACTTTGTCTCAATTGTCCTCTCCCAGGCCAGTGACCCAGGAAAACACAATAACAGTAGCATTCTTATAGCTCATTTTAAATAGGACTGCTTTTCTGCAGCTGGCTTTGTAGACAACGTACCCATACAAATAGCTACTGAGTGTTTGCCACATTTTAAATAGGGCTCTTTGGTGAAGCCACAGTTCAGGATAGCAAGAATTTTTTAAACTGCTATTTAAAATAAACACTGCATGGATGTTTCTGCCCTCTGCTAGCATAATTGCTCTCAGGGGAAAAATGATCTTTCGCTTAACCAATGAATTAATAGATCTGTGGTTCTGTAGAATGCAGCTCCCCCTCCTGCCACCCAGACAGACGTAGGGTTTGGAAGCAAGGGACAGAATATAGAGAGAAGTGGTTCTGCATGAAAGATTGAGTTGAATTCAGAGTTTGTGTGGACAGAGAGAGGGAGGGAATAGAGGAGGAAAGAGAATCTGCTGGCTGGGAGGAGGCTGATTTCTTGAGGAGGTTGGGTCGTGAGAAGAGATGACCCGCAGAAAAACTGAAGCTGGCTCTCCTGGTGGAAGGACTGGCCAGGGAACTTCTAGAAACAGCACCCTTTAGTTGTCTCACTTTATTGAAAATGTTACTGTAAGAATAAGATGTTAAAGTGTATACTCGTTTGAAAACCATAAAGGCAAACAGTGTTTGTAGTTTCGATTTAAGAACAGTCCGTTTTCATGTATATGCTATGATGTGTGTGATGTGAGCCTGGCCCCGATCATTGCTCCAGATCATCACATTGCAACCACGGTCAAAGCGATGATGGCACACACCTGCCTTGCAGGGGAGTTTTGTGGGAATCAAGGAAGAAGGGGCTGTAGTCCATGTTTGGGTCTATGTCAGGGGAAGAAAGAGGGGCATCATCAAGCAGGAAGATAATGTAATGGAGTGGCCGGCACAGGAAATCAGAGCAAGGGAGCCCTGAGGAAATGTGGGGAGCGCACTGATTTCCTCCCCCTGGGCAAGAACTTCTACTTACTTGTTTCTTCCTTTTTATTACTATTTTTTTTAATTCCAACCTCTTATAAATGAAAAGTTTAAATGTCCTGAAATGTTGAATGAATATCTCTCTGATTTCCTGTATGCTCACCACAGTCAAGAATTGTTAACATTTGGCCATATTTGCTTTACTTATGTATGATTTTAATTTTTACTATTTATGTTATTATTTTTTTTGTGGAGCCATTGGCCTGTAAGTTGCAGGACATCATACACTTGAGCTCTATAAACTTAAGCATGTATTTCCTAAATATAAGCCACTATCACTTAACTATTGAAAGGAAGGGTCAGCCCTAAAAGCTAGGGAACTCGGAGGTCACCAGATGGCTGGCTCCTGAGTTATAAAGCAGGGAGCACAGAAAAGGCCCCACTCTCACCTTCCAGGAAGTCTGGTGAAGCAAGGAAATAACCCTCCCACCCCCTGCCCATGCCCACTCCTAGCAGGCGTACTTTGTAATGTGAAAATCCTTGCTACACATCATCCATCTTCTCTCCCTTCCTTTTTTCTCCCCATAGTTGTTTCCCTGTTCTCTCTTCTTGACTCTTGTTTTTTACTCTATTACTCAGTGAAGCATCTCCTTGTCGTTGCCAACCCCAGGCTGGGTCACAGTTAGGGACACAGGAGTCTTAGAGGGCTGATGTGTTTTGGGGGAGGGAACAGAGAGAGTGCTGCTTGTGAGGAAAAAAGTCTTGGGCATTATTTAGCCCCAGACAGCCCCTGGCACTGGTTAGGGGGAAGGCAATCTTGGACCTGCCATGGTGGTCTGTCTGTCTGTCAGTCCGCTCTGCCAGGTTCTGTTTCCATCTGTGCATCCATCGCTCTGTCTCTGTTTATGCCTCTATTTCTTTCCTTTCTTGTGTCTGTCTCTTTCTTTGTCTTTCTCTCTGGCTCTTCCTGACTTTTATTCCTGTCTGTCTAGCTCCTCCCTTTACCATTTTTTTCTACCTCATGTTCAAATGATGCTAAACTTAGAGAAGAAGCCTGTTGAAGCAGGGATAAGATATGCCACTCAACAGTATCTGCTCTTTTTTAAGAACATTAGTGTCCAGACATCTGAGAAGCACTTTGGGGCCTTTGTAAAGGAAAACAGTATGTGGTTGTAAAAGAATAATGTTGGCAATAACAAATAAGGACATAAACCACTTCATGACTTTTTGTTTCCATTTGGGTGTAAGTACTCATGGGATAAATAGTTACCATTTCAATGGTCAAGATGCTTTATTTACCACACTGCTGTCTGTCTCCCTGTGGCCTTTTTGGGAGGATGAAATCTCCTCTGTGCCAATTAGGCGTTAAGGAAGAGAGAGGCACTGCATTTCTAGATTCTTGCCGAACAGGTCTGCTAGCTATGAGCCTGAGGGCAGTGCAGACAGCCCCTCCTGGAATCTGCTAGAGTTGTGGTTCCAGCTGGTGTGAGGACCTTTGCCAAAAAACTGGAAATGCCAATGGCATCTAAGCAGGTGCATCTCCCAGAGCAACCCCTGGGCCCCCTGGACTGTGCCCACTCAAGCTCACGGCTCACCTCAAAAACCCTGAAGCCTCTGGTTATTGTTACAGTGGATCTGGCTGGCACACAGACCCAGGTGATAGTCTGAAGTGCTTGAAACGAATCAATAGGACTTTTTCTCTCTAGCATCATTTCATCCGCTTAATTGTCTCTAATGTAAACATATAATCTGGTCAGGCAGGCAACTTCTAAATCAAGCACCAGGAATCACAGGCACCAATTACAAGACAGCTATGCTGGGTTTGCTGCATTTGAATTCTGCATTAGACCACTGAAATCTGATTTTCCTATTGTTTAGGAAAAACCTCTAGGGGTTATTAAGGTTTGCTGCAAATAAAGTTAGAGACCCAGCATCTTTAAGTTCAATGTAAATGTTATTTATTGGGAACACATTATATGCTCTGTACTGTGCTGGGTCTATGGGGGATGCACAGATGGCTAAAGTCGACCTCAGACCTGAGGCAGGCAACAGAAGTATGGGAGAGTGAGCAGAATCAGGAAGGGAATTGGGAAGCCTTCCTGAAGGGGGTGGGATGATGGGAGCAGGGACGTGAAGAGCACAAAGGACTCGGGTGGGTGGAAAAGAGAAGCAACAGGGAAGCCCAGAGGGAGACAAGCGACAGCATGAAATGCTGCAGACTACAGCTGTTCCTGGAAGTGGAAAGTAAGATTAGGAACTGTTCGGGGGGAGGCTGGGAAAGCCTTTCTGGCACTTTGGGTGTTTTCACTGTGTCATGGGAACCATTACAGTTTGCTCTGCTTCTTGCCATCAGCAGGGACTGAGTGTATGTGGTGGGTTTACTTTTAGAAATGTGGATTAAGTTTTATTCTTACACTTTAGTAGACCATGCAGGGCTTGGAGGTCAGAGAGACTTGGGTTCAAATCCCAAACTCTGCCCATCCAAAGAGAAATTAAACAACTCCGAGGCCAGGGCTGCCCCGCAATGTATTCTTTCCTTCTTTCTTTCTCTGTTTTTCTTCTTCTGTGTCTTGCCCCTCTTCCTCCTGTGAGACATCAGAATCTCGATGCCAAGTGATGACGGAGATGGCCTCCACAGGCGAGGTCTCACCTGGGCCAGCTGTGCCATCTCCCCCAGCCTCTTGCATCTGTCTGCACCTGGCACCCGCCCAGATGCTCAGCACTTGGCTAATTCTTGCTAAGCAGCCATGGATGGAAGCATCGGGGAATGGTGCAGACTTTACTGAAGAGTCCTTGGGGAGCAGAGGAGGGTGTTTACATCAGACATTCCACAGCAAATCACTTTAAAACCTCCCATTAGAGATTTCTGTTTTTTTTTTAAAGTTACCTCCTGGCAGTATGGTCTCTGGACACCAGCCTCTTCTTCTCCCTTGACAGCATCCACTGGCTCTCTTCTTCCCTCCTCTTCTTGTCTCATTAAAATAATTTCCTCCCCAATCAGGCAGAGCGATTCAACCTTGCCCCAATTCTTAACAGCCTTTTGTACCCAATCATCATGGTGAATAAATCAAGGATCTGTTCTCAGCGGCCATCTAGATGTAGTGGCATCTGGTGCTATTTGAGCACCCCTTAGGGGTAAAAACAAACAAACAAAAACACCTGCATGAGGTGCTTTAATTTAGGCCCTTATTAAGATGATAATCAAATTTGTAGATAGAAAGAGTTAGCTCTTACTCTGTGATGAGAACCATGTACATGTTGATGGAATAACTATGGTTATATTTGATTAGTTCTAAAGGATATGCAAGAGGTTTTGATATAAATGCCCAGACCCCAGTCACTGTGTAACTGGTAATAACTCTTAACCAACGAGCCTAATGGCCTGATTCTGGGGGAATCTGATCCATTTCCTTCTGTACCTCATTATGGAGGAATAGCCCCTTCTTGCCTTTCCATAATCCTTAGCTATTGCTTTTTGTTGTTGTTGTTGTCATCGTTGTTGTCGTTGTCTAGCTATTGCTTTTTAGCTTAGGACTGGCTGGTGATGCTGCAGCCCCAGCCCCTGCTGCTGCTCCGTGTGGTGGCATGGCCACTGTGTCCTCTTGCAGGGTTACTGTTCTGCATGCTCTGGTGACAGGAGTGGGAAGGTTAACTTCCAACCTAAAATTGAGCCCCGAATTGTGTCATATTATGGCACCGCCACCATCATTAAATACCACCCTCTCCTTATTGTAGCAGATTTAGATGTTACAGTGCAATTACTGCATGCCAAATAGTAAATGGGAACATGAGCTATATGACTTTGATTTTGAGTATTTGTTTATCCATATGTAAAATGGTCATGATAATATTGACTTATGATGTTGTAATAAGGATTAAATGCTCTCTATATTATGTAAATACTTGGAAACTAGTAAGTATGTATATGTTTCTTTCCTACAAGTTCCTACAAATCTCCCTTTTCCACAAATGCTAAATTGCTATTATACTGTTGATCATAATACGCACTTAGGAATAGAAGAATCAAGATAATAAACTAATATTTGTCAAATATGTAACTCACATTATTACAGAAATCAGGATAAAAACTAGAAAAGAGATGAGAGAGTGAAGGAGTAGATCATAATGGTATCTTTGAGAAAAACATGAAATCATCACTCATCCAACTGGATTCTAGATCAGAGATTATGGAACTGGAGAACTGGATAAAGTAAAATATTATACAGGCTTTTTTATTTTATTTTATAAAGACCTTATTATTCTTTTCAGAGCAGTTTTAGGTTCACAGAAAAATGGAGAAGGTACAGATGCCCCACCTATCCACATGCCCCGCCTCCCCTACTGTCAACATCTCCCACTGTAGTGGTGCATTTGTTACAAATCAATGAACCTACAATGATACATCCTAATCACCCAAAGTCCAGAGATAATTTAGGCTTCCCACTTGGCGTTGTATATTCTATGAGTTTGGACAAATGTATAATGACATATATCCATCACTATAGTATCATTCAGAATAGTTACACTGCCTTAAAAATCCTCTGTGCTCTGCCTATTCATCTCTCCCTCCCCCGAAGTCCCCAGCAAACACTCATCCTTTTATTGTCTCCATAGTTTTGCCTTTTCCAGAATGTCATACAGTTGGAACCATATAGCATGAAGCCTTCAGATTGGTTTCTCTCACTTAGTAATATGCATTTAAGATTTCTCCACATCTTGGGCGCCTGGGTGGCTCAGCTGGTTAAGCAACTGCCTTCGGCTCAGGTCATGATCCTGGAGTCCCGGGATCGAGTCGCACATCGGGCTCCCTGCTGAGCAGGGAGTCTGCTTCTCCCTCTGACCCTCTTCCCTCTCGTGCTCTCTATCTCTCATTCTCTCTCTCAAATAAATAAATAAAATCTTAAAAAAAAAAAAAGATTTCTCCACATCTTTTCATGGCTTGATAGCTCCTTTCTTTTTAGTGCTGAATAATATTCCATTGTCTGGATGTACCAGTTTATGTATCTGCTCATCTAGCAAAGTAAATCTTGGTTGATTCCAAGTTCTGGCAATTATGAGTAAAACTGCTATAAACATCTGTGTGCAGATTTTTGTGGACATAAGTGTTCAGCTCCTTTGGGTAAATACCAAGGAGCACAATTGCCGGATTGTATGGTGGGAGTATATGCAGTTTTGTAAATAACCACCAAACTGTCTTCCAAAATGGCCATACCATTTTGCATTCCCACCAGCAATGAATGAGAGTCTCTGTTGCTCAACATTCTCACCAGCATTTTGTTTTGGCTATGTTCTGGATATTGGCCATTCTACTAGGTGTATAGTAAGTATCTCATTGTTATTTTAATTTACACTTCTCTGATGATATATGCTGTAGAACATCTTTTCATACACTTATTTGCCATATTTGTATCTTCTTTGGTGAGGTGTCAAAGTCTTTGACCAATTTTTTAACTGAGTTGTTTGTTTTCTTCTTATTATATTTTAAGAATTTTATGTATACTTTGGATAGCAGTCCTTTATCAGATGTGTCTTTTGCAAATATTTTTTCCCAGTCTGTGACTTGTTCTCTTTTTCTTGACAGTGTCTTTCACAGAGCAGAAGTTTTTAATTTTAATGAAGTCCAGGTTACCAATTATTTCTTTCACGGGCCATGCCTTCGGTTTTGTAAGACCTTTGTTTTTTACCCTAGAAATAACTGGTTCTTTCTAAAGAAGGATGGCTTGTCCTTTATGTGGTGACCTATTATGCTGGCAACCAGGACGTAAGACCTTCCATTCCTCACCCAGGGTCCTTTCTATAAGCCTTTCCAGCAAGCGCAAGATGAACACTGGATTTTTCATCGTATTTTTAATTTCAACATCTTTTTCCTAAAATGATGATGGGAAAAGAACTCTGAACAAACGAGTTTAAATTTAGTCTGCCACTTAGAAGTGAAGTGACCTTGGATAAGTTACTTCACTTTCTGAGTTGTATTTTTTTGCAGTTTGGTAAGATGATACTTGTCCCATGTGAAATCATCAAGTACCTGACACGAACTCACTAAACCTTAAACCCAATCAATCATTCCCAAGTACAATGTCTACCTTGACCATGAATATTTGCCAAAAGGCCAGTTTTTCATTTTACTCATTCAATTCCTTCCTTGGGTTTAAGTTTTCCTAATGGACTCATGTACCTTGCTTCATCAACCTTTTTCCCTAATGTTTCTAATTAAGTGTATGCATTTGATGTGAAGGGGTGTCCGTGTGTGTGTGTGTGTGTGTGTGTGCAAAGGGAGTTTCTTTGTGAGCAATGGTGAAACAGGACAGAGTTGTCCAGGGAACACCATGCATTACTGCCAAAGCCCCATATGCTACCGTGTTGCCCATCCATTGCCACACACTCAAAGATTTTTCTCTGGTGCTTCTCCCACACCCTTCTTTGCTGTGGATACTCAAACACTTGGGACCACATGTTCTAAATGAAGCCTTGGTAGGTGGGCAGCCACCTCCAAGATAAAACTTATTTTAAACCTGAAAATATAATGTGTTGCAGTGTTAACAGTAGAAGCAGAAGATTTTCCAACTGAATTTTAAAATTCAGACCAGGTCAGGTCTAGCGAGCTTTTCATCTCAAGTGTTTAGCAGGGTAAGTGTTTCAGTGTGATCACAGGCAGCCCAGGAAGGCTACAGACTTGCCAGAGACCACAGTTTAAAGGTCTGGCAAGTGTGCCACGTGACGGACCCAGCCCAGAGAAGTTCCTCCAACCATATTCCTTTTCTTTAGGGCACTCATCTTGATTTGTAATTGTACAACCATTAGTGTGACTTCATCTGTCTTCCTTTTATACTATAAGCTAAAGAGAACAGAGACTGTGTCTAGCACAGTGCCCGGCACACAAGACTTTCTGTCGTATAAAGGAAGAAAATGGACATTGGCTCAGTATGTATTTATGTTTGTGTCAACTGATTTCTAAATAGACAACAAATAAATCATTACTGAGTGATAATGAGAAGAATCAAATGGGAAGAACATTAATATTTGCATAAGTTAAATTTGTAAATTTTATATCAAGCCCTAATTAACAATTTTCCCTTTATCGATTAGACTTTGAGTTTGTTTGTCCCGGTGCTCCAAGAACAATCTTGAATGCAAGTGGGATTTGTATATAAAATAAGAGAACAGTGCTGTGGATTTTAATATTTTTCAAGATATTAAGTAGAGGCTGCCCTTTTAAAATAAAAATATTTAATTATTTTGAAACATCTATTTTCTCAACTGTAGCACAATTAAAGAGTGCTATTTTTATGCAGAAGGAAATGAAATATGGAGGTAAGCATGAAATGACTAGGCACTACTCAGAAATCAAAGAAAACTCAGTGTAGGGAACAGAGGGTATGATTTGGGGAAGAAAAATCTCTTGAATCCATTGAATCCATGCTGAACTAGAAATCGAATAATGACATGAATAAAACCTCATTGACAAAACAGGAGAGCTATTGAAATAGATGGAAAAGGCAGGGTAGGAAATCAAATACAATTCACTTGTGCTGAGGACAACCTTAGTGGCAATGTTTCATACCACAGTTAATATAAAATAAGTCATTATTTGAAAAGAAAAAAAGAAAAAAGAAAGCTCACCTTATTACATCACATCAATAATGCATTTTCTAGAAGCTCATCATGGTTCTTCCTATAAAGGCCAAATAATTCAGAGAATCATCTTTCATGTCTGCTTCTGCCTTTCTGCCTAGGAGGGTTCATTTCATTATTCTGTTTTGGTTCAACCTATAAAAATTCTCAAGGGGTTTTAATGCAGATGAATCCAGGCACTCTCTGTAGCCATCTAAAATAATTCAGGACAAAAAGGAAAAAGGAAATTAAACAACCTATTCCCATTTCTACTCTATATCTCACCCTCATAACAAGGTGTTTTTTGTTTTGGTTATCCAGTAATAAGCTCAATTCTTCATTTAGTTTTGCCTTTAGAGAAATTACCACAGAGTATGTGTGTTCTTTTATTCTATAATTATTAGCATTTACTATGTGCTGGGGGCTGCTCAGGGTGATCCAAATTCCTAAATTCTTTGGACCTTTGTCTTTTTATCTGGAAAGGGTCAAAATAATACCTACTTCATATAATCTTGGTAAGGATTCAGTGAGATAAAATAAATGAAATGCCCACGGCAGCATCTGATAAATGGAGGCTGGTTCCATTCATTTTCTTATTTCATTACCTCTTTTGAGAGCAATAGTTGATCACTCATTAAGTACTTCCTCATAGGAGCTTAGAATCTGGTGAGGGAGAAAGACAAGAAAACAGAAAATGATATGTGGTTAGTGAAATGATGTAGGTATGCACGAGGCACCTGACCCAGTAAGCAGCGTGTGAAGGGTGAGGAAGATTTTCCAGTAAAGGTGTTGTGAGAAGTGAGGAAGGGACGTGTGGGCAGGATCAAATGCCTAGAGGGCATTCCTGTTTGTGGAGAACTGAAAGTCCTTCTGTCCAGCCTTAGACTGCAGTAGAGGATGTAGTAAGAGAGCTGGCTTGTGGTAAAAGCAACGGCCAAATCATGAAGAAACTTATATACCTTCTAATGTATTTTGGACTCTTACGAGGGCAACAGAGAGCATCTCAGTGGTTTTTTTTTTTTAAATAGCATTTTTTTTTCAGAATGCAGAAGTTATACCTGTCTGTGAAAGGGAAATACAGAAAGGCTTATAAATGTAAATATAAATGAAAAGCCCCCACAGTCCTTTTGTCCTATTGTTAATATTTTGGTATAATATTATCCACAATTGATACAATACTTTTTATTTCTTTTTGTTGTTGTTACAAACATTGCCTGTTGATTGTAAAAAAAATTACAAGGGATGGGGGTGGAGGGATGGGGTAACCAGGTGATGGGTATCAAGGAGGGCATGGGAGGTAATGAGCACTGGGTGTTATAGGCAACTAATGAATCCTTGAACACTACATCAAAAACTAATAATGTATTATATGTTGGCTAATTGAACATAATAATAGAAATTTTTTTTTAAATTACGGATAATTAAAAACACAAAGAAAACACACCCCAAGCCCCTTCACATAGCTACATTTAACAGCTTAGTGTATATCCATCTGAGTCTTCTCTGTGATTCTATCCTGTTCTTAGTCTCTGTTTGTCAATCTCTCTTTAATGTTTCTTAATCTGTATGTTCCTTTTAATATATCTGGTGAGTATTTCCATACCACAAAATTTCACCTACAGTATAATTAATAATATTAGAATAAATTATTTTTGTTCAATTTATTTATTTAAACAATTTCCTATCGTGAACATTTATACTTCTCCAAATTTTCACTCAAACGACAATACCATGGTAAACTTTCATAGCTAAACCTTTTGCTAAAAGGTTTATAGATCTCTAAAAATTCCCATGGAATAAAACACTCACAGTTGCATTTAAGGTATTTAAAGATGTTGGTATATATGCTGCTAAACTGCCCACTGAAACACAGTTCCAGTCTTTCTCCTGCCCTACATCACCTCAACCACTGAGTAGCAATCAGGTTTTTTAACAATTGACAGTTTCATAAGTAAAGCATTCCAACTCATTGTCAATTGTGTTCCTCTGTTTAATATTGAAGTAAAGCCTACTTTCATGTATCAGTTTGTTAATTTTCTCTTCTCTTCCAAATTGTATGTTAAAAACCTTTGTCATTTATTGTATTAATTCTTTTCTTATCAGATCTTATATTAAGGATATTTACTCTTTGTAGTATATATTGAAAATATTTTTGTTTGTTGGTAAATTATGTTCATGGGTATTTTGTTGCATAGAAGCTATAGGAAAGAAGTTTTCTGGGGCGTCTGGGTGGCTCAGTTGGTTAAGCATCCAACTCTTGCTTTTAGCTCAGGTCATGATCTCAGCGTCCTGAGATCAAGCCCAGTGTTGGGCTCCGCTCAGAGGGGAGTCTGCTTAAGATTCTTTCCCTCTGCCCCTCCCTCCTTCCCCACCGCCACTCGTGTGCTTTCTCTCTCTCTCTCAAAAAAAAAAAAAAATAAATCTTTTTTTTAAAAAAGTTTTCCAACATTTTGATAACTGAATCTATCAATCTTTCCCTTTATGGGTTCTGCTTCTGGAATTGGGCTTAGAAAGGCATCCCCCACTGCATGATTATATGAATAATATTACATGATTTATCCTGGTAATCACATTTTTTATCCACACAGTATTTATATTTATGTAATATGTGAAGTGGAGCTCTAATTATTTCTTTTCCCCCAAACACTTAGCCAGACTCTACTTGCTTTTCTTATACTGCATTTCTTTAGATAACTTGATATTCTTTTTGTCAGATTCATGTTGTCTCTCTAACTATCCAAGCCTTCATTTATGTTATTCATTGGAGTTGAATCATTTGTTCATGTAAGTCCATGATAATTTTATTTTTTCCTATTTAATTTCTATATTTTGTGGTTATTGAAAATGGGATATTTTCCCACCTATTTCCTAATAGTTTATTTTTTGTTAATATACTTTTTATTTTCACTCTGCTGATTACCTTATTGACATTTTTATGTTTTTAACATTTACTGGTTGACTTTTTTTAGTTATTTTCCTGATAACCAGTCATTATAAAGGAAAACTATATATTCTTTTCCTTTTTGCATTTGCTTCTGTTGTTTCTCTTCTTGCACCAGTACTCCAGTTAGAATTTCCAAGCATTCTTAAATATGTAAATGTGTTTACTCCTTTTTCTTTTTTTGTCATTTGCTGTTTTAACACCTATCAAAATGATCACCTTGCTATCCCCCGTTCATGTATTGACATTTTCAACATTTCTCAAACTGACTTGTAAAGCACATTATTTCTAGCATTAAAAAAGGTTTTAAGGGGGAGCCTAGCTGGCTCATTCGGTGGATTCTTGTGGTAAAAGCAAGGGCCAAATCATGAAGAAACTTATATGCCTTCTAATGTATTTTGGACTCTTACGAGGGCAACAGAGAACATCTCAGTGGCTTTTTTTTTTTTTTAAATAGCATTTTTTTTCAGATTGCAGAAGTTATATCTGTTTGTGAAAGGGAAATACAGAAAGGCTTATAAATGTAAATATAAATGAAACTCCACACTGGGTGTAGAAATTACTTAAAAAAATTAAAATCTAAAAAAAAAGGTTTTATGATCAATTAAGTTTGGTAAGAGTGAAGACAATTTTTCCTTGTATTTGAACAAATTAAGGCTGTGAGGAGACTTGCAGCCAGGAAATTTCTTTGACTTTGTTTAATTCAGCTTTCCCCCTTATTCTTATTCCAACAGACATTTGAAATATGTTCAACTAACTAATGATATTACTAGAAATTCTAATATTAACCATTGAGTTTCTGAAATTTATATTTCAGAATTAAATTTTATATTGGGATTTGTGAATTAACATTTACAAATGAACATACCATGTGTTTTGGTTTTTTCCCTCTGTGTGTTATTTCTATTAGAATTAGGTATCAGGATTATGCTAGCTTTCTAATATTAATAAAGAAGCTTTAATCTGTTTATAAGATCAAAAGGAATTTAAATAGCAAAGAAATCATCTTTTCTTTAAGATCTGAACAAACATGCCTGAGAAGTGGCTCCCTTGGGGCCAACAGCTTTTATGTTTTGACAACTTCATCTTTTTCTTCCATGGTTATTGTTCAGCTCAGAATTTTTTCCACATCTTGCTTTAATTTGGTTTCTTATTTTTCCTAAAAGGTCATCAATATTAATGAAAATTTCAGTTTCTCTGCAAAATACTTATTTCTTGAGTTCAGAGATACAATCAATTACAAGCATCACCAGCTTTATATCAGCTTCTCAGGAAAAAAAATCCTATTAAATTAACTAAAAAACTAATTTACTAATTAACAATGGCATACATTCAAATGTACAATTGCGAATGACTTTCTTTAGTGTCTCAAAGTCTGTGATTCTTTTTTCTCATTAACAGTCAAAAGGTCCTGAAAAATTTTGCCCATGAGTAACTGATTATGCAATATGCTATGAAGATAAAATGTTTTTTACAGTCCAAGTGCTTGAACTTGAATAATTTATCACATTTAGGTTTAACAGTAAAATTTAAGTAATATCAAATAATATTAATGTTTCTATCTGTATTTCTCATTTATTAAAGGGTTTGTTTTGCTTTTTTCCCTTAATTGAATAGTGTCCAGCAGTTAAACAGCTTCTATAGAAAGTCAATCTGTAACTTCTGACAAATAGAAGTTCATTTCCTAAGTGATTAGCCTCTGTGCATGAACAGGTCACTCTAATACATTTGAGTATTGAAATGTGTCTGATATATTTGAAGATACACAATGACCAAAATGAAGATAAAAGCACAAATTAATTAATAATTAATATCATAAACCAAACCTTAGTTTTTTTTTTTTTAAGATTTTATTTATTTATTTGAGAGAGAGAGAATGAGAGAGAGAGTACATGAGAGGGGGGAGGGTCAGAGGGAGAAGTAGACCCCCCGCCGAGCAGGGAGCCCGATGCGGGACTCGATCCAGGGACTCCAGGATCATGACCTGAGCCGAAGGCAGTCGCTTAACCAACTGAGCCACCCAGGCGCCCCAAACCTTAGTTTTTTGAAAGAATACTTATATTGACAAACCTTTGTCAAGACTGATAAAGTCAATAGGGGCGCCTGGGTGGCTCAGTCAGTTAAGGATCTGCCTTTGGCTCAGGTCATGATCCCAGGGTCCTGGGATGGAGCCCCATGGGCTCCCTGCTCAGTGGAGAGTCTGCATCTCCCTCTCCCTCTGCCCCTTCCCCCAACTTGTGCTCTCTCTTACTCTCTCAAATAATAAAATCTTAAAAAAAAAAAAGACTGATAAAGACAATTAAGAGAGAAGGCACACATTCCTAACATCGAGAAGGACAAAGAACATTAATATAAGACTTAAAGGTACTGACAAGGTGATAATAAAAAATAACGAATAACTTTATGCTAATAAATTTGACCACTTGAAATGAAATGGAAAAATTCCTTGGGATAAAACCCAACAGATTTATCTAAAATACCATAAAATTAAATAGAAAAGATGAACAATTCCATCTCTCTTAGAGAAATTGAATCTATAATTAAAAGCTTTTTTCAGAGAGATCTCCAGGCCCTAATGGCTTTAGTGATAAACATTTTAAACAGAACTAAAACTAATATTACCCAAGTGCTTTTGGAAAACATAGGATGAGAAAACATATCAAAACCTGTTTTATGAGGCCAACATAACCCTGATAATAAAACAGCAGACATTAAAAGAAAGGAAAATTATAGACCAATATCTATCAGTACATAGATGGAAAAACTCTTAACAAAATATTAGGAAACCAAATCAAGAAATATATAAAAAAATAACACATATGACCAAGTGAGGTTTATCCCAAGAATACAAAGTTTAACATTTGGAAATCAATCAAAGTAATTCACCATCTTAATAGAATGAAGAAAAACCATATGATCATCCTAATATATACAGAAAAAGCATTAAACATTCATTTATGACAATACCTCTCAGCAAATTAGAAATAGAATGAAGCTTTTTTTTAAACTGATCAAGCGTATCCACAAAAAAAATCTATGCCTAACATACTTAGTGGTGAGAGACTGAATACTTTTTTCCATAAGTCCAGAAACAAGGCAAAGTTGCCCACTCTTACCACTTCTATTTAATATTGTACAGGGAGTCCTAGCTAGTGCAACAAGGCATGAAGATGAAACAAAAGGTATACATATGAAAGGAATAATTAAAATTATTTTTATTCATAGATGATTTGATTATATATGTAGGAAATTCTAAATGAATCTGTAAGAACCACTGGAACTAACAAGGAAATATAGCAAGCACACAGGATACAAGTCAATATACAAAATTAATTGTATTTATTTTTTAAAGATTCATTTATTTATTTAACAGAGGGAGAGAGAGAGTGGGGGGGAGGGGCAGAGAGGGCAGAGGGAGAGAGAGTCTCAAGCAGACTCTGTTCTGAGAGCAGAGCCAGTCCTGGGCTCAGTCCCAGGACCCTGAGACCATGACCCAAAGCAAAACCAAGAGTGGACACTCAACTGATTGCACCACCCAGGTGTCCCAAAATCAATTATATTTCTATGTATTAGCAACAAACAACTGAAAAATCAAATTTATTTATTTTTTATTTTTTTTTAAGATTTTATTTATTTATTTGCGAGAGAGAATGAGACACAGAGAGTGTGAGAGGGAAGAGGATCAGAGGGAGAAGCAGACTCCCCGCTGAGCAGGGAGCCCGATGTGGGACTCGATCCCGGGACTCCAGGATCATGACCTGAGCTGAAGGCAGTCGCTTAACCGACTGAGCCACCCAGGCGCCCTGAAAAATCAAATTTAAAACCAATACCATTTGCAATAGAATAAAAAATCTAACATACTTACAAACATGTAAGATCTCTATACTGAAAACAGCAAACGTCTGCAAAGAGAAATTAAAGATAACCTGTACCATGGATGTATTTCTATCCCTAATAAAAATACTTTATTATTATAATTTTATAAGATTTAAGATCATATAGTTAAATATTTCTTTTTTTTTTTAAAGATTTTATTTATTTAGGGCGCCTGGGTGGCTCAGTTGGTTAAGCGACTGCCTTCGGCTCAGGTCATGATCCTGGAGTCCCTGGATCGAGTCCCGCATCGGGCTCCCTGCTCGTCAGGGAGTCTGCTTCTCCCTCTGACCCTTCCAACCCTCCCCCCTCTCATGCTCTCTCTCTCATATAAATAAATAAAATCTTTAAAAAAAAAAGATTTTATTTATTTATATGAGAGAGAGAGAGCATGCACAAATTGGGGGGAGGGGCAGAGGGAGAAGGAGAAGCAGACTCCCCACCGAATCGGACACCTGAGGCGGGGCTCCATCTCAGGACCCTGGGATTATGACCTGAGCCAAAGGCAGACGCTTAACCAAGTGAGCCAGTCAGGCACACCTAGTTAAAGATTCCTAACTTTTTTCTTCTTCTAATGTCTTTTTCAAGATTGTTTTGGCTATTATAGGTCCTTTGTGTTTTCTTACAAATATTAAAATCAATTTGTTAATTCTTACCAAAATGCTGGAATTTCAAATGGGATGATACTGAATCTACTAGTCACTTTGGGAAGGATTCACATTTAAACAATAATGAGTTTTGCAATACACTAATGTATATTTTTGCAATTGTTTAGGTATTCTTTAATTTCTCTCTGCATTGTTTTGTAGTTTTCAGTGAAGGCTGATGATTTTAGTTTTCTTTCATTCTATATTAATGACTCCCTTCTCCAACAATGAGATAATCAGCTCCTGAAATCCTTTACATATCTACCTGTTTGACCAATTCCTCTGGATATAATCAATCCCCCATCACTGCTGCCGCACTCCTCCCCACCGGAGATGACTTCATCATGCTACTCAGGTGCTGACAATCTGTGCTGGGTTTCTCTCGTGCAGACATCCTCCACTCCCTGCTTGGGCTTCGACCCCATGCCTGGCCAGCCTCATGCATATATGCCTTCCTCACTCTGCTTGGGCCCTGACACTTCACACCTTGATTTCCACACATGTAAATGTCTATCTCCCACTGTTGGGTTCTGATTTCTAATACTGGGTCATCATTACCCAACACACACACACACACACCCTCCAGACCCTACCTGGACTCTGATATCTTGTGTAAGTCCTTTTTTCCTTTGAGCCTTCTCACCCTACTCAGCCTCAGTCCATGCCACTCTGTTCTACATGGGACACTCCACTAAATGGCTTTAATAGGTAACTGTTTTGGAAATGGAGGAAAAGGAAGAGAAGAAAGAGCAAGATGGACTTTTTAATAACTCTATCTATTGGGATAATTAGATAGCCATTTGGAAAAGGACAACATTGATCTATCCCTCAACTGTGTACTAGCATAAATTCCAAATTAATTAGAAATTTAAATTTGAAAAGTGAAATTACATATACTCTAGAAGAAAACATGGATGAATTCCTTTATAGAGTGTAGAATACTTTCCTACTTAGGACTCAAAACCAGAAGCAATGTTCACATATATAAAGTAAAAAGACAGGAGGCCAACTGGGAAAAAAATACTGCTGCTTATATCACCTCATGTATAAAGAGCTTCTAGAAATAGAGAAGAAAACTACCAATAAAACTCTGGAGAAATGGATGATTCCAGGTCTGCAGCAGCAAATGTACAACATAAACCCTGACACCTCAATCTTGAAAGTAAGGAAGTTATTGAAAATCATTGGGGTCATATCAAAAGGACTCTAGAGCTGACTTTAACTGGCTTCCACTTGTCTCAAAAATGGAAGAATTGAACTATCAATAAGGATAATAACTGCAATGAGTTGAGTCATATCAAACATGTTTAAATCCATGTGTTCATAGTGATATATTAAACAGAAAACCAAACTTGTGATCACCGTTAGAAGATGCAACTGAACGCACTCAATCTGAAAACTGGTAAACAAAGGAAAGGCATTTGTCCTGCATTTTGTGTACAAACTATAATGAAGAATATATACATAGACACATATTCATATTCCACTGATGAGAGAAGGTTCTTTATAAAAGATTTCTAGGTAATAAATGCAGAAAGAATGATAGAATTAGGAGTATCAACATTTCAGAACCCCTAATGAAAACTGGATCCAGGCAAAAAGCAAAGACTATTAAAATCATTTGGTGAAAAGCTAATAAAAAACTTTACAATGAACAGCTCAGGTTGACAACACTTGAATCTACTGATCAATTTTAACATAACAAAAAAGAGAGACAATAAGCAACTATGTGCCTCCTGATGGGATGCAAAAGAAAGTACAAAATGCCAGCTATGACATATTCTTGCCAAACATGGAACCTGAACCTATTAAGCCTCTAAGTGCAACTGTACAGAAAACACAAGACACAGAAAAGCATATTAAACAATACCCTATTGACATAGTAATGCGATGCGGCATGTGGAAGACTCTACAGAACAAATGACCCACTTTCTTCCAAAGATAGATTGCAAATAAAAATACAAAGGAGGAGGAAACTATTGATTACAAGAGACACAGGGGATATATCAACCAATGCATAATGGGGATCCTGTTTGGATTTGATTCCAACAAGACAACTGTGGAAATAAACAAAAGAAAAAACAGCCAACCAACTAACAATAAAAGCATTTATATGACGTACTGGGAGATCTCACTGACTGAGTAAGACACTAAGGAATTCTTTTTCTTTTTTTAAGGTATAATAATGGTATTGTGGTTATATTAAAAGGAAGAGTCCTTATCTTTTAGGATTGACACATTCATGGATGAAATGTTATAATGTTGTTTCAAAGTAATCTAGTATCTGGGGGAGAAGTGGGGGAGGTATAGATGAAAGGAGATTTTCCAGGTGTTAAAATGATTGAAGATTGAGCCAAAAAAATCTTCAGCGCTTGCTTATGTTGAGGCCAGACAGACATCTTAGGGGATATCTTTGGAGCGAGGTGCCATATAATCAGCACCCCTTATCCACACCTATTAAAGTTTGGCTATCTTAGTTTTTCACAGTTAGCTAAGAATTTATCTCCATGATTAGCACATATCCTTAATTGCCTTTACTTCAACACTTTCTCCTATAGCACTAAGCAAACACATTTTTTTTAATTTTCAGAATTCATCCCTGCTATGGTTCTCCTTTCTAAGTGACAGAAGTCCTCATAAGCCACCATTGTTTTTGTTTGTCCACAGTTGCCCACATGTCACAGGGTCCCTGTTTTCATAAATGAAATTTCTTTGACAAGCATTAATGAATGGTTAATACAATGCTTGCTATATGTCCAAGACTCATAGAGGTGTCTTAGGGAATGTGGAATAAACAGAATTACAGTCCTTCCCTTTCAGGAAATGGTGAAGGCAAAGTGCTGGGCACATCATAGGAGGCCTACAGAGGTTGATGCTCTTCTCTTTCCATGTGCTTGTTGTTGCTCAGAAGGGCAGGTGACCCAGTCGTGGAACAGAGAGACCAGCTCATATTTCCTGGGTGTTGTATACAAGCTGCTACCATACATAGTATGTGAAATAGGTTTTAAACAAAAGGATTGACCATGATGGGCCTGAAAAGCATCCTTGATTTTTCCCAAGACTCTGACTGTTCTACTCAGTGTTTCAGTGAATACCCCGTCTAAGGGGACATTTCAGCATCATCCTAGGCGGAGTTGAGGCTTTGGAATATTTACGGAAATGAGTCTTCCTACTGGGTCATTACCAATACTGTATTCATTCAACAAATGCACATGTGCCTACCATGTGCCCAGCACTGTCCTCAGTACAGTGATGTAATAGAGAAGAAAACAGACACAAACTCCACTGTTCTGTAGCTTATGGTGCTGTGCAGAAGACAGATGTTTGTCAAATAACCACATACACACACGCATATCATTGCAACCTGTGGCAATTGCTTTGAAAAAATGTGGGTTTTTTTGTTTTTAGAATGTATAATAAGAGGATCCAATTTACCTAAGCAGCTGGCTAGGATCTGAAAGCTTCATAGGACGTAATTAAGAGGTGGGATTGTACAGGGGCCAAGGGGTCCCTGGGGCTTGCTGGCATTGTTGCAGTGTTGAGACAGAAGGGACAGTCTGTGTAAAGACATCGAGGCAGAGAACAAGGAGGAAATTGCCTAGAGATGCTATTTCAGGCATTCTAACTGGGAAACATACTCTGACCCTAACATAAAGGATAACCAACTCAGCTCAGCTATTGAATATCCACAGGGACGAGGGAATGCTGTGGGCTGATGAGTGGATGAGGTTGCAGGAGAAAAAGATGTTTTGAGAGAGCAGCACAAATTCAGGTGAATGCTTTTTCTCTTATCTCTTTTTTTTGCCTTTTGGGTCTGTGACTCAAAAGGCAAGATAACCAATCTCTGAAACCCTCTGATTTCGGTTGTTTACTGTCCTGAGGAGCAGTCAGTTGCTTAGAGCTGACAGAAACATCTAAGTCATAATTCTTATAGTAGAAGAGAGGAGATGATGTTTTCTTTAAACCATCAAAATGAGTTTTAAATTTAAATCAAAATAGAAAAAGGGATTTCAGAGCTATCCCAAGCATTTGGACAAAAATCAGGTTGAGGTAGGGAGAGGGGGCAGAACAAAAAGAACCTAAGAGGCCAGCACTTACTGTGCATTTGAGTGGATGAATGAATCAGTGTATGAACACTGTGCTGTGTTTTATGTATATAGTACATAATACATATTTATACATAAGTTACATTACATACACATACACCACACACACCCACACACAAACCCACAGTTTCTTTAAAATTTCTCAACCATCTTCCCTGTACGGTCATCACTGTAGCTGCTATTACTTTTATCATCATTTTACTGACCAGGAAAGGTAACTAGTTCAGGTTACCTGATTAAGTATGTGCTATTTTCACCAAACCTCATGGGAACAAG